TTCATGTCCAAAATATTGATTGATTACTTGCTATCATGCCTCAAAGATATTTCGTCAAGAATTCTACTTGGTGTACTTATACGATCTTAGATATTTAACAAAACTCTAATAATTTAAACTGCTAATATTTTTAGATTAAAAAATTCCGGTGAAAATATGTGCTTTTAAATACATTACCTATAAAAGAAAAATTCAAACATTAGTGTTCAAAAGTTTGAATGTCAGTATACGAAAATCGCAAATCTTCAAAATTTGTAATTTTTTCTAAGAATGTGCGTTCCGTGTTCTAACGTGAAACATACTTTTCTGCAGTCTGCTGTGTAATGTTATGCTTATTTTGGATATAATACAGAGTGCTTCTCAAACTTGCAACATTTGGGATCCAATTTTCAATCAGAATTTTCGTCGCCCCTCCCCCGATACAATAACTATGTATTGAATGCAGTAATAGTGTACTTTGATGCTAAAGCTACAATACGACCTTAATTATAAGCCGTAGAAATTATCAAAATTTTATATATGTTTCTTTTAAGTAATAGATATTTTTTAAGTAAGTTACCTTTAAGTAATAGAATAAGTATTGTTACGTTGATCGGGACTCGAGGTTTTTATGCAAATCTGTCGCAAAGAACAAGACAGTTCTTTCAGAGCGATGAGAATTTATTGTCAAAAATCCAATCCTTGAAATACATGATTCAGCAATATTCGCAGAATAAATCTCAGAAGGTCTTCACACCTTCAACACCACTCAGACACAATTATCGGTGTCTAAAATACACGTATATAAAAGGTTATTCACAAGCAATTGCTCGTTCAACAGCCGAAATAATCACTAATCGCTTCAATAATCAGAGCAATACTAACTGATCGTTAGTCAAAACCAGACTGACTGACTTTCGGCGAGCATCTCTCTATTTATATCCTATGCGGATAATTAGAGAAAGACCCGCTTGTATCATAGATCTTGAAATAAGTGGATTTCTTTACTAATTTCTAGAAGAATCCAGAGGGTCCCGAACTCGCCAAAAAGTGGTCACCAACATGATCACCAAGTCACCAAATTGGTCACCAAAAATGACGCTAATTTGGCTCTATTGCCAAGTTCCAATTGAATCATCCTTATAACGTAAGGGATGGCGTTGCTTGTGAATATTACAATTTTAACGTAAATTAAATCTAATTTAGAGAGTAAGATATATATATATATATAAAGGCATTACACATCCAAATGCAAATTATTTACACTTTTTTACACGAAATTCGTAACAGTATTATTGTTACTTTACCATTCTAACGCTTATATTATAATAGATTGCAAAACAATTTTTTATTAAATTAAACATTTATTTCCTCAATCATCTACTTCTTTAAGTATAAATATCAATAGAAAAATAGTCTATTCTCTGTTGCTCTCTATCTTATATCCATCATAATTGACATTCTCACGGATTTCTGTGCAACCGTCTTTGAAAAACTTTTGCTCTACAAGACAAGCCCATGGGAGTCGCTGGAATTATTAAAATTGTTCTTAATTTAGTATTGATGAATTGATCATAGCATGCATTGAGAGAAGTACTGATACATTTATTTTTACCCGACTTATAAGTCGCGGGTAAATGTGTATTTTATTTTTTATTATATCAGAATTTTTTGTTTTGCTCCCTTTCAGTAAATTAATAATTTTTTTTTTAATCTTTTATTTTCGACTTTTTGATATGCTTGCGCCCTTTCCCCTTGGGGCTATCCCGCATCCCTAGGCGGGTGCACTCCACAGTTTGAGAGAGAAACGCTGATATAATATTATAACTGTTTAATGAATGAAAAAAATGTGATTTGATTGCTCATCATTTTATAAATTATTATAGGATAGAATCTTCATAAAAGTTTCAATATTTCATCCGGATTGTTTTAGTTAGGAGAGGGGGGTGCCAGCTCAGGTGTCGTCCACGTCACTTGACCATGGTTCAAAATTACGTGGTCCGTCGCCAAAAGCCCTCGTGTAGCTGAACAATGCGACGTTAATATTCAATCTCAATCAACCGGATTGTTTTAATTCATAGCTGTTTGCCATTTAAGCTATTTTTTTTTATCAACAACCTCTTAATTAATCTCAGTTTTAAAATTTTTGTTTATGTGACAAAATCTTATTTATATAAAATGATTTAATTAAATTGACTCCCCATACACAAGCGAACGGGAATTCTAGCACAATTTATGATTCTTCCCACTTCATTGTAAAATTGCTTAAATCGTAATATAAGCATAAATTAAAATGTGATTTTTAAAATAAAATTTGTACAAAAAAAGACTCATATTTTAAAAATCTCGGTTGATAATAATTTCTTAAAAAGGGTTCAATTAAATCACAGATTTAACTGAAAATACATTTGAATTTTCACTCATCGTAATTTCCAATCACCGCCAACTGATGAGGAGATGATACCCGAGCCCTGATACCACACTGACCTCTGAGAACTTTGAACTCTCTAAAATAATCTTTCCAAACTGTTTACTATTAAAAGTTTGAGACACTTTAAAAAATATCGCGCTCTTGGTGAAACTCATCAGAATTTTTTTTTTTTTAATATATAATAAATACAACACGAAAAAGAAATAGTTCCCCGTTACGAGTTTGGAAAACTGCGTTAAATTAAAACTTCTCAGTAGTTCGAAGAACAATGAAAATTCCTAACACATGCGATTTTTTAAAACAAAATTTCGAAAACAAGGAAACTTAGAGAATAAATCAACATTAATTTATGAAATATATGTGTGTATACTTTAAATAAGTGTATATAGAAGTTTTGTATAACACAGTCGTTTGTATGAACATTAATGATTAAGTGGATTATTTGATGGTTTATTTTTTTCTTCGATGCATTTCGAAAACGCACATTTTATTCTTCTTTTAATCTTTGTTTAAGATTCCCATCGTTCTGTGACTAATTTGTTTATCGGAATGCTCACGCTTGCATTGCTTTTTGTTTTTTAAAACACCATCTAAAGTTTTTTTAAGTGTTTATTAAATTATATATATAGCGAATATTTAAAATACAAATGTATCACACATAAGTTCTATATACATAAGCACCAATTTTTATTTTCCTTCGTTACTTTTTCCTTGACTTTATTTTGTAAGAAATAACTCATTAAAAATGAGGCAATTCCTGTTTTGAAACTTCATTTTTTTTTTCTGTGTTCAAATTATATATAAATAAAAAATACTTTTGAAGGATAATGGCAATTAAATTGTTTTTTCGAGTTCCATTGCTTACCTGAAGCAGGAAATCATTAAGTAATTTTGAATTTCTCAATTTTTTTTTTCCAGCCATCTCAGTATAAAACTGTCTGTTTAGATAATTTAAATTTTTTAGCTAAAGTGTTATCTGTTAAATTAACATGTTCAAAGTTGAAACCACACACATTTTTTTTATCTTAATATGTACTTTTTTTTAAATATATT